TCATACACATTTGGTGGAAATGTAAATTATTAATACAGCAATATGGAGACAGTGTGGAGGATCTTCAAGAAACTAGAAATATATTCCAGCTATCCAATTTCTGGGTCCATATCCAAGGAAAGTGAAACCAACATACCAAAGATACCTGCACTCCCATGTGTATTGCAGCACTGTTCATGAGAGCTAGGATATGGAGTCAACCTAGATGCCCATCAATAGATGAATGGACTTAAAAAAAAAAAAAATTGTACTTACCAGCATGCACAAGTCCTGGGTTCAATTCCCAGCACTGGAAAAAAAAAAAAAGTGTGGTATTTATACAAAACCTTATATTCATCAGTCATTTTAAAAAAATAAAAAAGGAATAAAATCCTGTCATTTGGGGTGACATGGGTAGAACTGAAGGACAGGGTGATAAATGAAGTTATACAGAGAAAGATTAGTACTACATGTTCTCTCTCATGTGTGGTAGCTAAAAAAGTCTGAATGTAGATTAGTGATTGCTAGTGGGCTTTTGAGCTAAAGAGTTTCACTCAGCCCATTGTGAAGAAAAAACCTAGGCATCAAGAGACCATTCTTGCTTTATTTATGTAACACAAAGTGACTCTATCCTTTTTCTGCTCAACATTATTCATTTTATTTTACTCATTTTTTAGGTTTATTTTTACTGATGTTTACTGTTAATTCATGTTGGAATTTCCCCTGTATTTATTATAATTACTGATATTTGGCTCTATCTTTTGTGACACTTTACTTTTTGCCATATTTTCTTCTATATTCTTTTAATATACTTATTTTTAAGTCATTCCAAAGTTCATGTCTCATAATCTGATCAAATTTTTAAAGGTTCCTGTGGTTCCAATGTGAAATTTATTGAATTTATGTAATTTTAGATTTATATTCCCACAATGGTAATTATTCTTCCCATGTTTTTCTTGGTAAATTTAATTTTTATTATTTTTGCTATTGTGAATGAAATATTTCCCATTAGCATTTCAAGGCTTTTGTTGCTAATAAATTCTGTATATTCATCTTGTTTCCAAATGCCTTACCAAAATCCCTTTTGTTTTTCTTAAACACTGTTTCCTAAGCATGTAATCACATCAACAAAAAGTTTTCTATTTTCCTATACCTATACTATTTAATTTTAAAATCTCAGAGTTAAAGACTCAGATGTACTTCTAAGTTTTGAGTTTCTTAAATTTTGAACGGGATTGATTTATATCTTTAGTGTGACTGCAAAGAAATATATGAGGGGACTGATGGAAAATTACAGGAAATTTGAAATTTTGGTGAATCGTTTTTTGACATTTTAATTTTCTCCCTTAATTATGCTATTTATTACCCTCTCCCCCTTCAATATTATTTTGGAAAATTACAGCCTTATAATAGAAATGAGGATTGTTAACATTGTAGCTGATCTACTTGACTAGTGTTCTAAGAGAACAGTTGGTCACAAATATGCTTTCTTACCATAATTGCTTGAAAATAGTTTTTTAGTAAGCAATGAATCAAGAATTCAAACCAAAGGAAAGTTAGAGTGATAGCATCTCTGACTGAAAGAAATAGTTAGGGCTGGGGGCTGGGGTTGTGGTTCAGCGGTATAGTACTTGCCTAGCACTGTGTGAGGCCCTGGATTTAAGCCTCAGCGGCACATAAAAACAAATAAATAAAATATTAAGGTATTGTGTCCAACTACAACTAAACTTAAATATTATTAAAAATTTCTAAACAGATTTCCAACATCCTTAGAGGCCAAATAAAACTGTGTAATTGCTAATAATTGACTATCTAATTTGTATACTGCATTAAAACGATGCTTACACAGTAACATTACTAAACTGGATTTCTGCAAAAGATAAAACTAGTTGACTTTAACAATAAAGTGAGCTTTCATTAAGACTATTTTGACAAACTCAAGCCTAGCCTTAGACACGGCAACATAGTTGAAACCTAACAGCCATAGGTGCCCTGTGATCCAACCCAGGTGGAGCAACGGTAATAAGGCAGTCCCAGAATGGGTATGTCTGTGGTTTTTAAGCATTTTTAAATTTTCCCTAAAGGGAGGTGGTCATGTAACATGATTTATGTAATTTAAATCCCCTTGCTTTCTTTAGTTTTCCCTGTATTTTAATAAGTTATGTAGTCAATTACTGTCATTAACCTTGAAAAATGTTTCAACGGAATGGAAAAATTTCCTGCAATAAAGTCTCCACATACCAAAGAAAGAGCCAAAGTATATTCTGCCTAAGTTTTCCATCTGAATATACCATGTTAAGCAACAAGCTTTTAACTATTTAAAGTGGAAAATGTGACCACTAAATGCAGCACATACTCGTCTGCCTTCTTATATATCACACACTACTTTAGATTCATCACTAAATATCACTTGTATAATTTGATCATGGTGATGTCAAGAACTGTGGTGTGCAGGATCCTATATTAAAGCTGCTATATGTTTAATGTTCATTTTAAATTTATCTTCTGATCATCTCTCCTGTTTTTAACTGTCACATCTGCTTGTTTACCTGCTTCTAGTAAAATATTATCTGTACTTGTGATCTGCTCAGGAGAAACCAAATTTGACAGAAACCAAATGTGTTAGAACTAGATATGAAATAAGAATATAGACTATGAAGATGGGGAGCTAAGGAGCTCACCTAGTGCAAACATTAGTAATATCGTACTTGGTCTTCCCCAGATTGGTCATATTGCCCTAAATAACAAAAGTGCAATTGTTAGATGAAGAACCCTGTTAAACAGTGGAGTTTTGAAACTCTCTGGACAGGAAGAGTGTCTGACAGCACATTTCTATCGAAAGACTGTGGGATCACAGTGGGGAAGGCAGAACTAGATAGATCAGCAGTTGGCTTAATTGGCTTCCCATAAACGTATTACAAATTTGGTTACAAAATACAAAAGTACTTCATGAATCATATGAAGCACTGAAGTCAAGGCTGAATTGTAATGTGCTTAACGTATACAACTTGCTTAATTATCCACATGAATGAATCATTAATACCTCAAGCCTGCTAACCCTTCTGGATACCTGATGTTTATGTAATGATGGTGCCCATTAGCTGAGTAAGGCATGAGTAGTTCCCTAGGTAAGCAGGAAAGGCAGCTCTCAAAACAATCTTGAGACAGTGTATTTCCTGAAGACTCTAGAAACATGTATTTCAAGAGCTAAGTTACTTTTATTGTACCAATTCAGAGGCATTTAATGTCTGTTTCTTAAGATACACATAACAGTATTCTGGGAAGTGGTGGCAACTGACAATACTACTTATGTAAAAGAATTATTAAAATAACAGCTTGCTACCAGTTCAGGCTTCTGAAAAATTTGCACAGGCAGGAAAATATTTGGCATAGCTCTTTAAACATATTTTTAAAATGGAAAATGTGGAGGGGGAGAAACCCTTTATTGTGAGAGTTTAACCATTTTACTTTTTGTGCATTAGAATTACCTTTCTATGACAGAATTCACTTTCAAATATTTTAAGTGCTCTTATTTATTTGACAAAATTAAAAGTTGACAATTTCATTTTAGACTACATATTCTCAGAAAATTTATCTTCTGTGAAATCTAAGTATGGAAAACACTAGAACATGTTTAGAGACATGTTGCTGAGTTACAGTGAATGG